GTTTAACCAGAGCTGTGCGCCAGTATTGTCTTGTTTGTTGATGATTTAGAAAGCCTATCTGAATAGACTAACCTGTTAGTTATGGTCGTTACTATGGTCGTCATGCAACAAGAATGAACAGTACCAGATTTCTTGTGACCCATGACTGCCACAAAATTAATATTAATATCAGTGCTAAAAATATGCCCAGAATATCTAGAAAGTATAAAGAATGATGGCAGATGTGACAAAGGACACGTCACGCATCTGCTTTCTGAAGCAGTTGCTGGAGGCCTTACAACGTAACCTGAAGAGCCTGAAGTGGTTCTGGATCCTATCCTGCACCAAGCTGCATGTGGTGAGCTCTTTACACCATGAGAACATTTCTTATACCTATTCTAACCTCCTGATAAATATTTATCCTCTCTTGGACTTGGATTTTTTAAATTATTATTTATTTTTGAATCAGCAGATTTGTTCAGACCACAGGAAATCCAATCGGGCAGGTTGGAGACCAGCCAGTTGAGCAGTGTAATTAACAGGAACATGTAATTAAAAGTTAAACAGATGTGGCTTGGGCAGGTGGTATTTCCTGAATGTATTTAGTTTGCTGTGTGTACGCACTATGTGTGATGGATACAAATACTCTATCTGCAACTGCGAAAAATACTTGTGCATATGCTGAGCAGTTGGTCTGTGCGCTCACCCGGCACTGCTGAAACTGCCGCATCTCAGCTCTTAACGGACTGAAACGAGTTCTGAAATCATGAACATGTGTAAACATTTTTAAAACTCAGCCTGGACAAAGTTTGTGGGTAGGAAGAAACACATATGCATGAAAGTCGTCTGTAAATTTAATAACCCCATATGATGCATTTCTTGCATTCTTTTTTGATTATGTGCTACCAGCTACTGTTGGAACCAGTGTATTAGGCAAGATAACACTTTGATCTGATGTAGCTTCGCAAAAAATGTTGTCTGGTGAATTCATTGCAACTTCCAAAATTTGAAAACAACTACTCAGCTGAACAATTGGCCTATAAAAATTTGAAAAATATATTTGGTCTTAGTTAAAATTCCAGTCATTGCTTTATCAACAATTTCAGTGAACTGGAAGAAATTAAAGAGTAAAAAATTTCAGTTAAAATTTGAGAATAAGAAAATTAGATAAACTTCTAACTCTGCCAAACCAGAATTCAGATTATTTTTTTAATAGGCTACGAGGTGTAGGCCATTTTCCACTCTCATTGCATTGAATCCTTAAAGAAAAAAACCTGCAAACAAACAAACCACACTTGAAGCTCTTCATGTTTGAGGGAAAATTCTATCCCTGTAGATTTTAAAGATTAAATCTTGTAGAATGCTACTGCAGTTTTAGATTTGTTTTGGGGGGAGTTTTAGCAGTTTAATAGGATTGTCTGATAAAGAATTCTGTCATACAGTTAAATTATTCCATCCTATTGTTGTTAGTGATCTATTGTAATTCTTCAGTATCCTTTGAGCGGTGTTTCACAGTGTCCCAATGTATCACTAGCAATGAGCAGCTGGCTTATTTGCAATATCTTGTTTCTTCTTCAGCAAGCTGTGTTGGGAAAAAAAAGTGCTATTATAGCAGATGACTTTCCATTGAGCTGCTGCACCTCCATATTCCCCAGAGTTACCAATCTGAAAATGAAATTTCTGTATTTTGTGTGTGTGTGTGTTCATTTATCTTTTATAATCATCCATTAAAGAGTGGTCTTTTGAAGCTGGAGCCTGTGCAGCAAACCTGGCTTTATTACAGATGTATCTTTGCCTTATTTCAAATTATTTTCCTAGCTTTAGAACTTTGAACCTTCACGAGTCATGGTCTGCTGCTCTTCACTTGCCAGGACATCCAGCTGATCAGGCAGTAAAATATGACTTAGACTTCTTGTTTACACAGAAAATCTAAGAACATGTCTTCAAAAACATTTTCTTGATCTTGTCATCATATCAAAGTGGGAAACTTTACCATATTCAAGTGAAGTAGGGTATGCTTTCTGAGTTGTAAGTGCGATTTTATCTGTTTTTTTCAGTTCAGGAACGGAGTGTATTTGAGATGGAGCAGAAGACTAATCACACAGGTTTATGTCCTGTCGTGATGTACATTAGTTCAATATCTGATCTATATTAGAAAGTAAAGGAAAGCAACTTGTGGAAATCTCTTTGAGAGCACCCCATAAAGGCACAGTATTATCCAGACTGTTAATTGTTAAATTTATTAATGTTGTTTTTAACTTGAGACCAAATCTTAAGTCTGTGGTGGCTCCACTTCAATTAGTTATGCAGATTTACAGCAGCTGAGATGTGCCCATTAACTTTGTGGTTATTCCCATTGGCTGAACCTGAACAGGTAGTTGAATAAATTATATTTTTGATGTAAGAGAATCAAAAATTTGACTGACGTTATTACCGGCAGTATCGTAAATGGAAATTGGCAATCGCGTTGCTGTTGATTCCTATTGAGTACGCAGCCGCTTGCAACGCTGCGAAACACAATCATCCCAGGGGCCTGTTTTTCCACTGCTTAAGTCTTACTGCAATGAATCGCAGTGCCCTGGCAGTTTTAGGAAGCAAGTTAATTGACAACTTGTAGAGAAAGGCTGTGAAGTGCACGTGAAGTGTGTGGATTTTTCAGGATGGACTATCAAACTTTACACTTTTCTGAATTTGGTCTAGTTTAGGAAATACTGTTTTTTACATTTTATACTTGTTATCCAACTAGTATGGAAGAAAATTGAGTTAAATTACCTCTGACTTTAAGTCCATGCAGTTAACAGAATTATATGAAAGATAAGTGCAAGTCAGTCATTGTAAAAAACTGTCACCAAAAAATATCTTATCCTGAGATTTATCAAAGTAGTCTAATATGTGCTGATTTATTGCAATATAACGTTTGCTTGTAATTTGCAATTTGATTTTAACATGCTATAAAGAAATTACGGGAGTAAATAGTGACTGTGCTCATTTCTTTAACTTAATCAAATATGTTGTCACAAAAGTTTCAAAGACATGCTTATTTAATTATGAAGTGGAAAGTAACTTCTGTTACTAAGGGAGCAATTTACTTATTGTATCTTCTTCTTTTAATGCTTAATTCCTTTTATTGAAACCGAATACTTCTTGTTGAAATGTGCCATAGCCTTATGAGCCTGGGATAAGTTTCTTGCAGTTATTTATTCTATTACTGTTTTATCACCTAAGGGAAAAGCAGTTATTCTGTTAATGATTGTGTTAATCAAACAATTTTGCGTATTTCTGCACTGCCCAAGTTTGTCTTTATATTAGCAGTCACAGGAGATGAAATTGGAAACTTGTAATATACTACAGATTGGATTAACAATCTCTGTTTTGTGTAGACTGCTTCAAGACTTATTTTAGATAATTTAAAAAGATTAAATCTGCAAGACAGTTATTCCTTCTGACAGGATCTCTGAAGGTTTTAACATAAGTCCAGTGTTCTTGTACAGATTTTGAACTTTATACACTAATAACCTTGCTATAGTAATGCAGGCTGGGATACAACGGATTTCTTTGATCAAAGAATTTTTGTGTATTTTTTTTAAATCCTTTGGACGTTGGAATAATTATTTCATCCATATAATGTGATGATGGGCAATAGACATTTGAATGTAGTATGTTTGAGCCGTTTCTAGGCTGTAATAGGTTTTATAACTTCACTTTTTGTCTTTTTAACATTTTGATGTTGTCTAGGCAGTAAATGTTCTTTTTTTTTTTTTTAAAGGTCTGCTGAAAGATAATATAGTTTTGTTGGGATGGAGAAGAGTCTCCGTGCTTCCTTTCTGTCATAAGCTTTCCTTGACGGAGTTCTCCCTAGGGTTAGTGCAGATGCCATTGGGTACCGATACCTTTGGCCGGCAGCATCCTGCCTGCAGCTTTGTAGCTGGGTTCTGAATAGCACAGGGCTGCCTGTAAAGCAATTGGTGGGATTCTCAAATACCTATCGCTTGCAATAATGGTTTTAAAAAGACTATGCATTATTCAACCAGTGCTTTTGATGTGTGTAAGACAGCTAAGGTATTTTTAAGGTTCTATTAAGGACCCTAAAGCATCTAAATATAATTGGCCTTTTTGTGAAGAGAAGGTTGTGAACAAGAGTTCACAAGTGCTTTTTATTTGAATAATGGTGCTTTTTATTTGTGCCCTGCTTTGCTTACATAAGTGCTTGCCTACATAAGTAGGGAACGCCTTTAGTTGTCCCTTCAGCATGCCCTCTAAAGTTACCTTTAAAATACTCTCTACATCTGCTGTCTTTTGGTGTTTGCTGGGGAGAAGGGTGGTCCTTCAGTGCCATCACCGTTTTCGTCCTATGGCCCATCTGGTAGCGGGTGTTAAACAGTGCTACAAGCCCAGACCAACCCATCTGAAGACTCAGTTGGCCCATCTGGTAGATACTGCCAAAATAATTTCCAGGCTCGTGTCGTATGCGTGCCAAGCTGTTGGCTCAGGTAATCTTTCAGTGCAGGTAGGAAATCTGAGGAAAACTTTGACAGCTAGCACAATAACTGGAGGAACAGTTCCATTTGGTTTAGCAAATTTGCTTTACTTGATGAATTTAAGCCAAACATATAATTACAACTAATTTTCAGCATCATGCCCTCCCTGAAGTCACTGAAATGTTACTTCATATTGTGTTCTTCATATTCAGTGGTTGGTTAAATTGATGCTATATCAGAAACTTGGTCAGCACCAGAGATGAATTTTGAAATATTTATTGTGATAATTTTTGCAGTATTCTTTTAGTTTTAATTAGATATGTTTCCTATAAAATTTTTTTTCATTATTTTTATTTCCTAAAATGCAGTTGTTTTTGTCTCACAATTGGTAAGAAATTATTTGCAAAAAAAAAGAAGGGAATTTTTTTTTTTTGCGTGTTTGATGATACATTATGAATAAAATGGTGGACTGATGCATATCAAGGTACAAGTGTCTTGGTGGGAAATAAACTTAAACTGTGTTTACTTGTGTGTTTTTTCCAGAGATTTGTTACAGTTCCCTAGAGAAGATGATGTAGATATTGCAATGAAAATTCTGGTTCAGTGGAGTTCCCAAGGCCTTGAAGATGTCCGGCTGGTAAATTACTCTGTTTTGCTTGACCTACCAGGCTCTTCTTCAAACACAGTAACTCTGAAAAACAGCGGTGAATGCTTTTATCCTAATGGACAACAGTGCAACAGAGAAACCAAAATGCTTCATAGCCAAGACCTCCTGTACTCGTATGCAGCTTACTCTGCCAAAGGAACTCTTGAGGTAATATGACTGTTTGTCACTTGTGGTGAAATAGTTAGAAAACGTCGGCTTTTATTGAACTTGGCTGGCAAAATACATGTGGTGGAATGCCTAGCCTTAAAATAAACGTATTTTGATAAAATACGGTGATGTGACCAATCTCAATTCAAACTTAAAAATTAGTCAGACCTGGATGCTTCATATGATATATATATAGTATTTTTTTTAAGTATCTGAGTTCATGAATTAGCATCTTTTGCTTGAGTGTAAAAATCTAAAAGGTGTCTAGAGCTACCCTTGTTGATGTATAAGTGCTACTGGTTTGCAGGATGCCTGTAGGAAGGGTAAGATGAGGTTTTTCTGCAGTGAGACTGGTGGCAGTGCTGGGCTAATACCTAGAGCTCCTGAATTATGATCGTGGATCTTGCATACTTTCTTCGATGGCAACTCAGTTGACACGTCTGCTCTGTTTCCTCTTGAAAACCCCAATTTGTATTTTTGTCTTACTGAAGCTTTTGCTAGGAAGTTTTGTCAGCGAAAAGATCCTGCCTGTTGGGATTTGTTACTTGCCAAGTGAAATAAGATCTTGGATTATCTCGTTTTATCCTCCGTACTGTCTTCACTGGCTGCCTCCCTTCCCTTTCCAAATATATTGGGGGTGCACAAAGGGGTCATCATTTCTGTTTACTTTCCTGGCTGAGAATAGTATAAATCTCAGTAAATATTTCTGAAATATAAAAATTACAATTTCACTGCTAACTATGTTACTGTTTTCTTTCTCCTTTGTAAAATATTGTATGTTATTCCAATGACACAGGGTTTTTTCCATCTTGGTTTCTTCATTGTTTAAAAGATAAATTTGTTTTCATGACTTAGAACACTAATAGACTATATAGGAACAGACTGTGAATGGCTTTGGGTTCGGAGGATGCCTCTTCCAAAATACCTTTATACTTTGTGAATAACTTAATATTTATAACATATTGGTTACTGAATTTCTAACAGTAAAATGCAACTGTTGTATATTTTCCTTTTGTTTGTGATGGCATTTGCCTGTAATGTTTACTGATAACATGTAATGCACTGTGGAAATCTTGTGATGGGAAAAAGTTGTGTGAAGCTAACCCATTTTATGGACTATTAATATAGTTTTGAACGTTGGCCTGTAGGAAATATGAGGGCTGGTAGAAAGTCAGATCCTTAAGTTTCTCATCCTGAAGACCACAAGTTTCAACTCCTCTTTCTTAAAAGCATTGCAGCTTTTTAGTCCAAAGGATTTATTCCAGAGAGAAGGAATGGACTTCTTGTGCTCATTTGGGAGAGAGACTTCTTCCCATCTCCTGTTTTTGTGTACCTTACATGTCTATGTTCCATATTGAGTCTTATGGTCCTTAACTCCCTACAGCCTCTGTTCTGGGGCTCTATCAACCCAACAACTTAGGTTAAAGTTTGCTGTAAAGTGAAATGAAGTAGGCAAGGGTGGGTCCTAACCTGCATGACGTATGCTTTAGCTTTTCCATGGGCAAGTAAAAAGTACTAATGAATGGGTCTGGCTTCTCACATTTATCACTTAAAAACTCAATATGTAATATTATTTTCTCATTGTAACTTAATCAGAGTAACTGTAATGAGATAAAAGTACGTTTGTGGCCTTTGAGATTTATTTCATGAAAATAAATGTGTTGCTAACAAATTCATCAGATTAAAGGAAATCCAATGTTCTGGGAAAAATCATGGATATTATTACCAGCAACACATGTACCACTTTTAGTTATATTTCAGAGCAGTGTTATCTATGATTGAGTTCTGTAAAAATGAGGAGCACCCACCCTGTGTATGTACTTGTCACGGCGGGTGTACCTTGGCTTTTGCAAAACTCGAAGCTTGTACTTGAGCCAAAGAATGAGTCTCTGTGCACAGTTTTAGAGTCAAATCTTTGAGATACCTGGCACCCTCACAAGACTTCAGATGTTTTCTTTTATTCTTCAAAAAGTCTACCGAAAGTGTCCTTAGATCACTTTGCCTAAAAGGGAAATTTCCTTTTTTGTTTAGGCTGTGGATGAATTGGAAGTGATCTAATCTCCCTGACTTTCAATCCTACACAGTAAACTCTACTATTTAAACAAATGGAAGTAAACAAACTTTAAATGAGAAGTAGCAGGTGTTGGCTGTTGCTGTGTTCAGCCATCAGAGGGTGACTTGATTGCTTGCAGTGGAGCTCCAAGTTGTGTTTTGAATATCTTGCAGTGGGTTGTGATTGCAAAATCATGAGAGTTTTCCTGTGAAAAGGTATTTTTGTAACAGCTACTCACAATCTGAATAATTTTCTTTCAAATGTGACACATCCTTAGTATAAAATTTCTATTGTGTGTCACATAATCAGGTTGAATTGCTAATGTTGCTTCGATGCTGCTGCTTCATTGTATCTCATTTGTATATTTGGTTTGCTGGAAGTTCAAGCAAATAAAACCATTAAGTTACTGCAGTCTGGCTACCAGCAGAGCTACACCTCTACTTTCATGTTGACAAGGTTATTTGTAGAATAGCAAGACTTATTTTCTTTGACCACCTGTCATGTCCATTCATCATATGGCCATTGTATATGAGCCATCCAATTTGTGCTTTCTGGTAACAGTCTAAACAGCATTTGTGAGTAAAAATGTGAGCATTTGTGATCTGAAATCTACTTCAAAAACCTACTTAGTGCCATTGTGATGGATGGTGCACTTTACTACTACTCCGTAATTCATTGGGCCCTGAAAAGGTGACACTGTTTACCCATCACGGTGACAGGGAGGGCAGCCTACAGTTCTGGAGAGAGCTATATAGTTGGTTTTGAAATAGATATTGCAGCAGTTATGTAAATAATATATCGTAGTCTAGGTCAGTCTAAGGAAAGAATAACATACATGAAATATATTTTTATTAAAACTTATATATCAGCTACCTTTTATAGAGTTTAAACCTTTTGTCTGCTTGATGAAAACAGGAAAGTCACTCTGCTGAACAGAGTACATATGTAAAGGGAAATTACATTGCATCAAATTTATGCGTTAAAGCAAAATGCATTGTCAAACAGTATCAAGCCAGTCTCTGAGTGAGCGTAGTGTGGTGAATCTGAATGTGTGGCCTCCTGTCTTCACGGCGCGCGGTGATCTGAGAGCTGTGGCCATGTGTGCTGTCACCGGTGGAGCAGTGGATGGATGAGCTGGGGAACCATTGGCAAGAGCCAAGGAGAGGTGTGTGTGAACCCCCAGAGATCCAGCATCCTCCTTTCAGCAGCGTATTGGTAAGTCGTGTCAGCGTAGGTGCATATTGTAGCCCATCTGTTAGCACACACGGCGGTGATCCCCTGCGTGCGGTGAGGTGTAAGTAAGGATGCGTCTTGGCTGGAAGCACAGCAGAAGGCTGGGTGGTACTCAGGTCATCTGGGCGGTTGCTTTAAAGTCGGCCCACTGAGTACAGCGAACTTCAGGAAGAAACAAGTGTTCAGTTTTAGTTTTGCAATGTTCATCTGCTCTGTTTCCTGTTTCTTTAGCAACTGTAAAGAGAAAAATCCTAGCAGAGGTAATGGTTGGTGTGTTGGGACATTCAAGGATGGACTAACTAAAGCAAAATGAAGATTGTATTTACTCTGTATTCCCTGATTTTCTGCAGTTATGTTTGTGTGACCTGAAGTTTTCCTCACCTTCCTTTCACCTTAAATTTATTCAGTCTTTGCTTTATGGAAGTGTTAAGGAACTTTTGGCAATCCTAAATCTTCTTTAATACATTAAACAGAGATACTTAGTGTCCTCCATTATATGGCATTGCCTCGTGCTACACTACACTGCTCTGCCTCTTCAGGAATAACCGGCTGCTGAATGCACCAGATCCCTGTTGGTTCCTTTGCTGTTCCTCCATCCTTTCCTTTTTTCATCATGGACGCTTTCAGCAAGCCCAGCAAAACATCCCTTTTCTTTTCTGGACCTCATACACTGAAATGACTATTTTGGTTCAGGAACGAGATGAGGATGCAAGAACAGCACAAGTTCTGGCATGTTCTTGAAACGGGAATGCATATGCAGGTAGGGATTTGATGGTTTCGTGGACAGAAATGAATCATCCCCATCTCCAAGGCAGTTGTCCCAACATCTGACCATACCGCTCTTGTACCTTGACCCCTCTTCTGTCCCTGTTCCCTGACTGCTTGCACTCCTCCGCTATGTCAGTTTACTTCCCTGCTGTCATCCACGTTCCCTGACTGATTCTACCCATTTCTCTGTTCAAAGTGTCTGCTGATTTTAGGTATTTATATTCCCAAATCAGCCAATGATATCTTTGATTAGTTTTGGAGGGGTTGCAGGGAGCAGACAAGTGAGAATACCGACTGTTTGCCTCTACCTACAGTATGCAGAAGAGATTCTCTACATCTGTTGATAGCGTATCAGCCTGCTCCAGTTCATTTGTTTTGGTGACGCTTTCTCAGCTAAGTGAGAACCCACTGCAGAGATTAATGCAACCTGAAGCAATACATGAGAAGTACAAACTCATCTGTTAAGCTCACTCAGTGATCTTCCCACCATTCTTCAATCCTGGCGGAATGGGAATAAGGGAAGCGGGACTTGGGTTGCTGTCAGATCCTCTTTCACAAGGAGGAGGGCTTGCTCACTTCTTACCAGATACCCCATTTTCTTATGGCTGTGCTGAGATGTCTCCTCTCCCAATCCATCCCTGTCTTTCCCAGGTCCTTCACTCTCTGGGAGTCTTCCTCTCCTCTACTGCCTCTTCCTCTAATCTTTTCCACTTATTGCTGGCTCCTCACTCCAACAGTCCTCTTCTCTCTGCTGTACTTTACAGTACCGCAGCACTGTTTCCTTGCAGTACTTGGGCTCTCTGTAGGTGTAGCTCTGCACCAAAAGGTTACGAGTTCCTCTGGAGGGACAATGCATCAGGAAATCCTTAACCCAACAGCTTGTTTTCGTTTGATTTGGTTTCATTGTACTGGAAATGTGATTAGTGCACCCTTATCTTTTATCTTC